ACAGCGCAGGACTTGCAGCGTTTTGTTCTGTTTTGCAGAAGGTGGCTATGGGTCAGCGCAGATTCAATGGCACCAGACAGCATGAAAACAAAAACCAATAAACAATATAAAACCAAATCTTGCACCCTTTCAAGCGTCTCAAAAACCGATGCTGTAAGCATCACTAGGAAAAGTAGCATAGTAAGGTCTACCTTTCATTTCATAAGGAGACCTGGTGGCAGTGTTTCCTACCAACTGAAAGGTGATTACTTCAAAGCCACCAGCCACCCCAGGGAAGAAAGAGTTCGTCAGACTCACTGGGAAGTTCGACCCTGTTCTATGGGATCACTGTGGCAGTGATTTGGTTTGGGTCCCGTTCCTAACTGCCCCTTCATTTGCTCCTCGCTATCGGGAGTGGAGTGGGCAAGATCAGAAAGACCAGTAGGCTCACACAGCCATGTGTGCCCGAGAACACGAGAAGACCGCGCTGAAAGCCAAGGAAAGGTCGCTTCCTGGTAAGTGCATCCAGGGGTTTGACTGAAAACAGAATTATTTTTCATCAGAATGAGACCTCATGGGAGGGGAACTCAAAACAAACAACCCAGAACAAGTCTTTGGGACCAGGAAGAGACGCTGGAGGCTGAGGTGAAGGTCATTCAGGGGGGAGTGGTAGCTGGCTGGGAAACTAATGGTCTAGAGACAGGCTTAGTGAGTCTACAGTGCATGAAAGACCAGCGTGCTGGGTTTCCGGAGGAGGGCAGGATGTGAAATGTGGTCCTTTCTTTGGCCTTCTCTTGTCCCTAAGAAGGCCTGGAGGGTTTCTAGACAGCAGCCCCTGGAGCCTTCCTTCCCCATGACCTTGAAACGGGACCGCATTAGGCAACTGCAGAAAGTGGGCATGGGGCAGAGGAAGGCAGTCAGGAGGGAGAAGGGAAAGAGCTTTGGGGGCTACAGAGTGGCTGGGCCACAAAAAAAGCTGAATTAAAGTGGGGGAAGTTCTTGTAAGAACCAGGATGCAAGATGATGTCACAAACAATGTCAGGAGGGGGGGGCAGCTGGTGGGGCAATTCTTTGGCCCAGCCCTTTGCTCACTAAGGGTAAGAGAGGAAAAGTGCCCATAGGCAGCTGCAAGTGTCCAGTGATACCTAACCCGTTCTCCACGAGTGAGCAGCTGAACTTGGGATGTGGTTGTGCATCTCTGCCTTTTGTGAGAACGAGAACACTCACCTCACTGCTACTCCCAGTGACCCCAGAGTCAGGGCAGACTCGCCCCTGTGCGTTTCCAAGACGGCCATTTTTTTATAGGAATAGAAAGTCTCATCTTGTTCCTATAGGAGAAAGCTGGGCAACTGGTGGTTCTGAACCGCAGACCTTGCTGTTAGCAGCCCACTGTCTAACCACTAAGCCACGGGACGGGTGGGGGCCTCCTTTTTGTGGAAGCTAGTTAGAGTCACCTTGTGGACTGGCCTTGAGTCACACAAGAAGCAATAGGCCCAGAAATGGGAAGTTTGGGGGCTCCCGAAACCTCCAGGTTCAAATCCCAGTCAGCTAACTGGATTCTGCCCTACTCAATCCGAAGCCTCTCCCTGGGTTCGCTGCAGGTTGGGAAAACCTCAGGTCTCTGAGGGGGCCAATCTCCCCGCTCCCTTCCCCCTGAGTCACTGGTTTACCCTCTGCCCTCCCTCTCTCCCTCCTGAGATGTGTTTCCAAATGTCTGGTGATGCAAACTCTCCTTGAGAATGTGAGTCCCGGAAAAGGAATGTGACTGGAGCCAGAGACAACAGGGACCGGAGTCAGACAAAGGGTCACGTAGTCACAAACGCCCTCAGACCATATTCAAGGCCTCATGAAAGCAAACCAGCCCAAAGCCTCAGACGGCCGATTCAGACCTGCACGGCGCTGCCTCCCTTTTCACAGCTGCCACAGACCCGCGTGACCTGACTTCCGGACGCTTGTCCGCAGGTCGTGTCAATTTTTTAAAATTAAATATCGGAAAGGGCAATAGTCAACATTCCTGCAGCACCAACTCCAGTTCTACAGGTTTTAAGCCTCCCTCTGAATCCTCACCACTGACCCAAGGGCTTGCCCCTGGCGGAGACCTGCAGAGATTAGGGCGAGGGAAAGCAGTGGGGTGGAATCCGGGTGTGACTGTCACATCCCAGCCTTCCAAGGAGAACCCGGCCTGGGGAATCAGGCAGGGCTGCCCCGCCTTTGCCTTCTCCCTTCCGGTTGCTCGCACATCTGTGGGCCTAGCCTCACATCACGTGAGCCAGACACCTGGCCTAATCTGCCACTGCACAGGCTAAGTCTACCACCGAGCAGCTGGATCTGGAAGAAGAGGGGATTCCCTAATGACCTGCAGTCACACACCAAGCCCCAAACCAGCTGTCCTCGGGCTGATTTTGAGGCACCGGTGTGCAGGCAGGAGTCTCCTCAAGGTGTCCAATGGCCAATGTTCAGAAAGTAGCTGTCAGGCCTATAGCTCAATGTGCCTTCGGTTGGACTAGAGCCATTTTCCAGTGAGCAGGTGGGCCCTGAGTCATTTGTACCCCTTAGGGACCCCACAGAGCCACAAAGAACTGGGGTAAAGCCCTGATGCTATCTGTTGGGCATCTAGCCCTAGGCAAGGAACCCCTCCATCTAAGGCTGAAGCTCCCAGAACCCCTGTGAGGGGGAGGGGACAGGAAGAAGTGGCTGGCATGTAGTAAGCAGTCAACGGTAGCCATCACAAAGTATTTAAAATGCGCACACATTTAAAAGGGGGTCTTAACAGTGAATAGCAAAAAATAAATAAAACACAGTAAAGTTAAAAAAAATGGTTTAGTAACTTTTCTAATAAAACCAAAAAACTCGGGAGTGGCTGTAAAATCAAATAAAGTGCCCCCCACCCCACCCCACCCTGCCTCCCCAAGGGCAGAAGAGAAGAGTGTGCCCATGCCGCCTGGACTTGGCTGAGACTTTAACCTTGGCGTCCGGAAACCAGGGCTCAAGGTGAACAGGAGGGAGAGCACATTCCCATCACACCCATGTGACTGGACAATGGTGACTAATTTTCCTAGGAGATTAGATGCAGACTTTCTACAGTACTTCCCACTTTTTCAAGTGTTTTGTCTTGTGACCCCATGAGCTCAATTAGAGCTCCATGGCACAGTCTGGTGTGGACGGACAGACTGCCTGCCCTCCTCTCGGGGTCCCTAGTCAAACCAAGAGCAGAAAAGGCCCATAAAT